GTAAAATATTTTTGAGATATGAATGATCGTTGATTTTTCAAAGTTGGAAAAGATTTATAAATTTTTTGCCATTTTTTTACAATAGGTGCCTACAAATTTTTATATATAGTTCAATGAACTATATAAAAATTTATATTGTAAAAAAATGGCAAAAAATTTATAAATCTTTTCTAAATTTGAAAAATAGAGGAGCTAAATTATAAGATGTATTAAAAAAATGCTTCTGGGTTTGTTTGATAAGATAATATTTTCTTAAAATAACCCGTGTGGAAAAATTTTAGGGCGCTGACCAAGCGCTTAATAGACTGTCTAACGTCTTTCTAGACCCAGGGCAGACGGTCTTGTCGAGCGGCTGTTCAGAACTGAAACGAAACTTCCACGCTATCGTCTAGAATAGACCAGCGTTTCTGGTCTGATCAGCAGTGCTAGTAAATTCTAATATACGTCTATTCCAAATTTCCCTTTATATGTTACGACAACTATTCTTAGAATGATAAGACTTAATTATATTTGAAATAATTTTAATGACTTTTTTTTACATAAAAAGTATAAAAAAATATTTTAACTTTCTGTATTTTTCACTTCAACTTTCTTTAAGCGTAAGGCTTTGTGTCCCTCCCAATCTTTGGCATTGGAGATAGTAGTCTTTTTGTAAAATAAAATTTACTGCTAATCAAAACAGCCGGATGAAACTAGCAGTCGTACTTAGCACCAATCTTTAGGCGTCAACCACTAATTAATGAAATTAATAAATAAAAACTTACTAAATTTGCTATTTAGTGGATATTGATTCACAAATAACAATACTCGATGGTTTTTTAAATCATTAAGTATTACAAAATTTGAAGGAGAGGCATATTTGTAGATGACGCCTAAACATTGATGCTGAGTACGACTGCTAGCTTCAGCCGACTAATCAAAACACATAGATACACATCAAAATCTATTTTTTCAGTGCACATTTAAAATTAAATTATACAGAAAACAGCAACAACATAGCACATAAAATTCAACATTCACATAAAACAGAAACCACAACGAATTCTAAAATTCACAAAGAAAATGTACCATACGCTGACTGATCTAATGACGCCAAACGACGCGACGCCATTAGGCGCCATGTTACTTAACAGCTGGGCATACATCGACGCATGCGCATATAACATCATAGACCAAATCTAGACGGTCTTAATAATACCGTATTAGACGGACATATTTGACTTAGATTTTTTCTAATAAGCCCATCTGTTAAGTCACTGATTCGGGACTTGATGGACCGTCTAGAATTAGACGGACTTGATGATTGCTAATCGGGAAATCATTGGACTCTAGACTGCCACAATATTTTTCCACACGGGAAAGAAAACATTGTTCGGTGGAAGATCCTTTTGAAGTATTAAATTTGTATGCTTTGAAAATGTAACTGTTCTTTAAATTTCTTAAGAGTGTTCCATAAGAATGTCCTCAGAATTTCTGGAAAATGTATTCTAAAAACTAAAACTCCATTACAGTGCAAAAAGAAACATCTTAATTTAAGATGTTTTGGTATCAACTTCTAAAATGCTGCGGTACTAACTTTTAAAATGCCTCGGCAGTAACTTATAAAATGCTTTAGTAGTTACTTTTAAAATAAAGTATCTAAATATATAACACTATAATAGTATCTTTCTGCTACATTCCAAAAGTATCATATTCTCATTCTTTTTTCAATTATTAAGACAACATAACAAAACCTTCGATTTTTTTTCTATATTTCTGACAATAATTTCATTTTAAATAACTTAATTCTTGAACAACTATATAGTAAAATTATTACTTAGAAAATATTTATTTAATGAATAATTTTACTTAAATATTTCCAAAATTCATTAAATTTTAAAAGAGTTGCTCTTATAATTTTCATGAATAGATGAACTTTAAAAGATTTTCATTAATAATTTTATAAAATTTCAATTTTGAATGAATTAAATTAGAAATTTTAAAGAACTTAGATTTTTGAAAAATTTTAATAATTCAACTTTTTTTGAAATTAGTTACATTTTTTAATAGGTCTTCAAATAATTATTAAAAATAATGGATGTATAGTATAGAAGTATTTTATTTGCAAACACAAAAAAAATTAAATTTTGGTGAAGTTGCGAATAATTGCAAAAATTCAATTATTTTCAAAAAATAATAAAATTCTTCGCAGAAATTAAATTATGTTCAAAACTTTTTTTAATTTCTCATCAAAATTTCAATTATCTTTATAAATAATAAATTTCTCCGAAATTCAATTATTTTCAAAAATTAATCAAATTTTTGACTAAATTTAATTTATTTTGATAAATAATTAAATTTTCACAGAAATTCAATTATTTACAATTTTTTTTTATAAATGTCAGCACAATAATGCAATTATTTTTATAGATAATAAATTTTTTAACAGGGATTCAATTATTTTTCTAAATAATAAAATTCTTTTTAGGAATTCAATTATTTTCATAAATAATAAAACTTACTGCAGAATTTCAATTATTTTTAATACAATTTTAACCGAATTCCTCGAAAAATGTAATTATTCTTGAAAATTTTATTAAAATTCGTCAAAAGAATTCAATTATTTGAAAATTTGTTAATTAAATTCTTTATCCGAATTTAATTTTACGAAATATTCAGTTATAAGTAATAAAACTCATCGTAGAATTTCAATTATTTTCAAAAGTAATAAAATTTTTCGCAGAAATTCAATTATGTTAAAAAATTTAAACAAATTCTCGCCAAAATATCAATTATTTTTATAAATAATCAAATTGTTCTCCATAATTCAATTATTTCTCAAAATTTTAATAAAATTTTTGGCAAAATTTCAATTATTTTGAAAAATTTCCCTTAATTCAATGATTTTTAATATCTAATATTTTAATAAAATTTTCCAAAAGACTTCAATTATTTAAAAAAAATTTAATAAAATTTTACACAAACATTTAATTATTTTCATAAATTGATAAAAATTTTCGAGGAATTCAATTATTTACAATTTTTTCTATAAATTTCTGTCCAATAAAATTCAATTATTTTCATAAATAATAAAATTTTTTAAAGGTATTTAATTATTTTCCTAATTAATAAAATTCTTTTAAGGAATTCAATTATATTTTCATAAATAATGAAACTCATCGCAGAATTTCAATTTTTTAAAATATAATTTCTTTAGGAGAATTCAATAATTCAAGAAACATTCAATTATTTAATATATGATTTATTTTTGTATTTAGGTATATAATTGAATTCTCGTAGAATTTTCTAATGAAAATTTATTTAAAAATGAATTTTAAGTAAAAATTGTAGATTATAATTAACTATTAAAAGCATTGTAGCATAAATTTTTAGAAATAATTGAATTTTGAAAAGTTTTACAATAATATTCTTATAAGTTGTTCAATTTAAAAAAGGTTTGAATTTTAAATTTCTGAAAATTTTAATTTCTATAGAAAAATAATGATGATTGAATATTTTTATTTAAAAAGAAAGTTATTGATGTTTTCGAATAATTATACAATTAATGAAACTCGTAAATAAATGTAATAGATCCTTTTTCTTTAGTATCTAATAATTTTTAGAGTGAATCAGAATATTCTTTAGATTCAGGGAAAAACAAAATTAAACTTTTGTGGCAACCCTGTTTTTTATAGCTTCTATTATAAAATTAATTTTTTATTATCATTACTAAAAATCCAAGCTGCAGATAAATTTTGATTTAAATAAAAAAAATTTGATTTTTTTTTAAATCATGATTTTTAATACAGCTCTTTAAAGTTATATCCATAAAATTCTCAACGAAATTTATTTATTTCTTCTTCAAAGCACTAGCAGAATTTTATTACAACAATTTTATGTCTTGTTTAAAAAAAATTAATTTTGGTATAAAGCACCAAATACGAATTTTTCATTTGTTTTTTAATTGTCTACTTTTATTGCATTAAAAAATAGTTAATCTACCATTTGGTTGATCATAAACAGAACAAAGAAATTTACTCGCTTATAAATTCGTCGTATTTACTTTTCTTTTTTTACAAATGCATATATGTAGAAGTGTAGGCATTCATTGAGTGCACAATGTACATGATGATAAATCAAGTACTTTATACATGTTTTAAGCGATGATAGTCAGTCTCAGAAACATTATTGCTATTTCTATTTACGTTGTTGAAGAAAGCTCGATGTCGTATTATTATATGTGCGCGAATTCTTTCGACGACGACCTTGAGGAAAAGTCTTGAGATCTGATCATTGAAATTTAATGAATATGTAGGTCTTTATAATAACTGTAGTTGGGAACGTTGTCTGTGTATAAAATACTTTATGTACTATATACATAGCCAAAGCGCTCGGTGTTGAGTTCATAAAATTTCTCTTTGGAATTAACAAAACACTCTCGAGAAGAATTTTCAAAGGAATCACACTTTTTTTCTGTATCAATCAAAAAACATTTTTTTAGTTTTTTTTTTCAAATTGTGCCTAGTGATCGAATTTGATGATTCATTTTAGAACCGAAAAATAATCTTGAATGATAACTTGATGTCCATGTATCATTTAACCCGAAAAGATTATTTTTCGGTAATAAAATGAAAATTGTTCGGAAAGCAAAAAACGATTTAACATGTAATTGAAAAATGAAGCTGAAACTTAGCACCCGCTTAATTTTGGTAAATAAATTTTAAAGTTAAATATTTTTCTATGAAGCTGTAACTTATCAGGACCTACTTCATTTTTTTTTTAATTTTGTTGGTTTTAAAGAGAAAAAATATTTAGCTTCGAAATTTAATCTCCAAAATTAAGTGGGGTGACACTTTTAGCTTCATAGTGAAAAATGTAAAATAAAAATAGTTAAAATTATTTTCGGTTAAAATTTGTAGTTTTAGTCAAAATTTTGCTTCCTCATAAAGACGAAGTATTTAATTTTTATTAAAACCTACTTTTTGGGTTTAAAAATTAATGAAAAATTTGTTTCTTTCAAGGTTACTGAGGGAGGAATTATAGTATTAGATGCCACTTTGGATGCTTCGACAACTGATGAATCCGATTGGGAAATTTCTGGAGGTCCACCATCTCCTTGTGATGTGTCCTTCTTAAATGACAACATTCTCATCAACGGTCGTAGTAATTTATCGAGACAGCCTCGAAATCATAAGGTAAATACATTTTTCAAAATACATTAATTTACTTTTTTCTAATTTCTTTTGTATGAATTAATATACAGGCCTCGGATATTAAGTAACACAATTTTCCTCTTTTTTCTACTTTTAAAACAAGATTTAACTTTTCCGATTTTTCTTCCATATATTGCAACTAAGAGGCGCATGATTATTCCCCAAATGTCATTTGACTGAACTGTCATTTTACCGAATTGCATTTATCCGAACTCTTATTTTAACGAAATGTCACTTTTGCGAATCGACATTTTTACGAATTGCCACTTTTGCGAAATATCATTTTTACGAATTGTCATTTTTACGAATTGTCATTTATGCGAATCGTTTTTGTTCCGAAATGTCATTTATGCGAAGTGTCATTTTTTCGAATTGTGATTTTTACGAAATGTCACTGTTGCGAATTGTCATTTTTACGAATTGTCACTTTTGCGAAAATTCATTTTTACGAATTGTCATTTTTACGAAATGTCACTGTTGCGAATTGTCATTTCGTAAAAATGACCATTTGCAAAAATGACTTTTCGCAAAAGTGACAAATTGAGTAAGTGGGGGTAAAGACCCCCAAAAAAACGCGTTTTTGGGGTTTTTCAAGATATTTGTTCTCTTTAACTATAGACGTGATAGAGACTTTCATGAGGTTTGCAATTAAAGCTTGAAAGGTACACTTCAAAACCCATATGAACATGACGAAAAAATAATATAAAATTTTGAAAAAAGTGGGGGTAAACAACCAAAAAAAATTTTTTTTTAAATTTTTGATATGGGAGTGGTTTCCAATGTATTTTGATCCGCTGAACCCGATCCTGGATTTCAAAATTGCCTAGCACGTCAGGATTTTGAGAAAAGTGGGGATAAAGTCGAAAAAAAATTATTTTTTGGGGTTTTTAATATTTTTTCTCCATAATCCACACTTTTTTCAAAATCCTGGTGTGTCAGGCAATTTTGAGCTTCCGAAATCGTGTTTAGCGGACAAAAAGTATTAAAAACACATTAGAAATTTTATAAAAATTATAATTTTTGTTGTCCTTTAGAAAACTTAAATATTGTTCTTGAATTTCTTTATCACTTTTTCTTAAAAACTTTTTAAATAACCTTGAAAATTTACAGTTGCAATTTTTATTAAAAATTATATTTTTATAATTAAATAACTGAATTCTCGAAGAAATTGTTTAAAATAATTAATTTAGAGAAGAATTTTAGTTAAAAATTCAAGAAAATAATTGAATTTTGAAAAAATTGTAGTAGTAATTTTTAGAAATAGTTTAATTTCTCAAGGTTTAAAAATTGAAATTATTGAAAATTTTAATTTTGAATCATTTTAATTAAAAATTCTGAAGAACCTTATTTTTTTTAAAAATTTAAATTCAAATTCTTTACAAAATTAGTGGAACTTTTGTATATAACTATTTAATTGAAAAACTTTCTAATAATCAAAATTTCGTAAAATTTAATTAATAACAAATGAATTTTAGACGATTTTTAAGTGAACTTTTTTTGAATAGTTAAACTCTCTAAGAACTTTCTTAAATTTAACAAAAACATTTGATTTAGAGACGAATTTTTTTACAAAGTTTAGAAAATACTAAATTTTTGAGTAGTTACAATAGCAATTTTTAGATATAATTAGATTTATTAAATTTATGAAGGTATTACATAAAAAAATTTTTGAAAATTTAAATTGTTATGAAAATTGAGAACCTAATATTTCATTCTTATTTTAAAAAGATTATTAAAATTTTAAATAATTTCAATTAGAAATGTTAGAAAAATAATTGGATTTTTAGAAATAATTGAATTTTGCAGAAGGTTGAAAATCAAATTTTTTGTTTAAATTTAAACTTCTGTGAAAAAACAAATAATAATTAGGTACTTAAATGTTTAAATATTTGTTTAACAAAAATTGTTTAAGTTTTGAATAATTTAATTTAGAAGTTCTGAGAAAATTAGATTTTTAAAAAATTGTAGTCAAGAATTTTTTGAAAGTAATTAAATTCCCAAAAATAATTTGTCTATTATTTTAATAATATTTTAATACCTAATAGAATTTAAAATTATATTTAATTGAATTTATAATTTAAAGAAAGAATTTTCAAACAACTGGAAATTTCGTCAAATTTTATTAAAATAAATTTTATATTTTAAAGAATATTTTTACAGCTTTTGAATATAATCGCCTGTTTTTAAAGAAAAATATGAAAAATATGAAAACTAATTCATTTGAAAATTGAAATTCACAAAAATTAAAAATTGAAGTTATTATCTGAATATGAAAAGTAGTTACATAATTTTCTGAAAATCAGGGATAAGTTAAATGAAATTTTTATGCCAACTCTGAATATAAAGACTTTTTCGATAATTCTGTACTTTAAAATTTTAAATCGACCAAATCAACTTTTTTTGCTCTTTCCAGCCAATTTGAGGCCTAAATAAACAAAATGAGCATAAAATTTTAATAATTTTAAAATGCAGTAAACCTGATAGTAATATAATAATTTATTAGCAATTATTACCATTGTGGGGGGAATTGCTTTTTTTGCGACAAAATTCTCACTTCTAAATTCTAATCTTATCAGAATTGTATTTTTAATATCGAGAATTTAAGACCAGCAACTATTATAAATTAAAAGGAAAAAAAAATTCTCCAAGGTCTTTAAAGTCCGTGAGAACGGAAAGACGACTCTTGGAACATAGCACAGAAAATAAATCTCACATGTCTGTACGAAACTTTTCTTATATTGTAATCGGCGCAATGAGAGAAGTTGAAATTTCTTTTTTTTTTGCAAAATTCAGATTTTTTGATAAGAGAACTCACGTATAATGAAATTTGTTATTTGAAAAATTTACATAAATCCCAATCGAATTTATAAAGAAACCGACAATCTTTATCTGTTTATTTATTACAATATATTTAAGAAACTTTTACCATTTTTTTTGTGAACTATAAAAAAATTATTGTTTTAATTGAATAATAATAAAATTATGAAAAGCAAGTGTATATTTTTGAAAAAAATATGAATTACATGCTTTTGGGAGCGGAACTGACAATTCCTTTGAAGAGACTCATGAACACCTCTTATAGTTCATTAGCCACAATTCGTAACTCTTTAGACACACTTCGTTAATTTTTATCGATTTTTTCCGTGTTATTGAATCATTAACACAGTTTTTTATATTCTCAATAACTTCATTGAAAATGTTATTAACTTCGCTAACTATTTGCTTTAAGAGACATATCATTAATAATTAAGACACTAATAACGATTAGTGTCTAAATTATTGTCAAATTGTAGTTTTTGTTTTTTTTCTTTTAATATTCAGGCGGGAAAAAAAAATTATTATTTATTGAGAATATATATTCTCCGTTATAACTAAGTTATAATTACATTTCTGTCACTTAATTAATTAATAAATTGTTAATTATAATATACACACTATATTTAATTATAAATGGTAATTAATTCTGTTTAAAACAAAAATCTGAGTTCAACTGGTTTATTGCATTTATCACCTCAGCTTTTGATTAATTATCTGGTTTACTATTATTACTATTATTACTTTTATTATTTTTTATTACTATTATTATCTTTATTGCTGCTTTTTATTATATTTATTACTATTTCTGCTTTAATAATAATAATAATAAAAATATCAATAATAAAACCGTTGCAAAATTAAGGCTGTTAAACTAAATCCCCTTTTTAAAAAATAAAAATCCCTTTTATCAGAGTTGCCACAGGTCAGGATAATTTTTTTTGAAAAATTTTAATTTCAATTCTCTTGAAATTAGTTTTAATTTTAAAAAATTTTAACATAATTCTTTGAAAAAATTCAACTATCTTAAAAAATATTTAAATTTTTTCCAGAAAATAAATTATTTTCAAAAATTAAAACAAAATATTCGTCAGCATTTTAATTATCTTTAAAAATAGCAAAATTCTTCTCCAAAATTCAATTATATTCAGAAATTTTTATAAAATTCATTGTAAAATTCAATTATTTTCATAGATAACAATATTCATCTGAAAAATTCAATTATTTTCAAAATTAATAAAATTCTTCTCAGAAATTTAATTATTTTCAAAAAAATTTCTTAATTCAATGATTTTCAATATTCTACTATTTTAATAAAATTTCCCGAAAGAATTCAATTATTAAACAAAAATTTTGATAATATTCTACTCGAACTTTCAATTATTTTTCCAAAAAAATAAAAATTTCACAGGAATTCAATTGTTGAAATTAGAAATTGCATAAATTATTTCAAAAAAGCAAAATGTTTTAAAATTTGGCATTAAATTCTTTGCAGTAATTTAATTATTTTCGTAAATTTTAAAAGTCATTTTAGGGATTTAATTATTTACATAAATAATAAAATTATTCGGAGGAAGTCAATTATTTTCATAAATAACAATATTCATCAGAAGAATTCAATTATTTTTAAAAGATAATCAAATTCAATTACATATTTTCAAAAATTTTATTAAAATTCATTGCAAAATTTCAATTATTTTCAAAAAAATTTCTTGTTTCAATAATTTGTATATTTATCATTTTAGTAGTATTTCCCAAAAGAATTCAATTATTTAAAAACAATTTTGACAAAGTTCTACGTAAATATTCAATTATTTTCTCAAAAATAAGGAAAATTTCCCTGGAATTCAATTATTCAAAATAGAATTTGCATAAATTTTTTCGAAGAAATTCAATTGTTTGATACTTTTTTATAAAAATATTCGCAATAATTCAATTATTTTCATAAATAATAAAACTCATTGCAGAATTTCAATTATTTTTAATACAATTTTTATCGAATTAACAATAAATAAATACCTAATAAATATATAAATTCTTCTTTCTAATTCAATTATTTTCAACAATTTTAACAAAATTCCCTGAAAAATTCCAATTATTTTCAAAAATTTTCCTCAATTCAATTATTTTCATAAATAATATAATGGTTTACAGGGGATTCAATTATT